GAGGGGACACTTATCCAGCCTGCTGAATGACAGTGAGAAAGGAACACCAGGAGATAACGAACCCGATTACCCATTCGAGATCGATGGATGAAGATGTTTCATTGCCCGACTACGAAGAAGTTTGAACAGCAATTACCTGTTTTAAAAACAACAAAGCGAAAAAAGTGTTAAACAGAGAGTCTCAATAATATAGTGTGCCAAATACTGGAGTGGAGCTCATTCATGTTGTTTTAACCGCAAAATATATTCGCCAAAGTATTTAGTTTTTAGGGAATGTTGCGGAAGTGACAGTCCTTGGCCGGCTAAAATTCCGGGTCGTTCCGGTATAAAGACCCAACTGTCGCGGAAACTATAGAATTTTAGTCACCTGTTACGACAGGCATGCCTTACCGAGGGTAAATTCATAAACCCCCAACCCGCAGTGGTTATTTGTGTACTATTTTGTGCGGCATGTGGACCGGCTGGCAGCTGGTTTGTAATTGGAGCCGTTAAGAACAAGTGCCACGCAAACCATCCAGTGACGATTCATGACTTGAAATACGAAGTTAATTTCGGCATTGCAGACATAGGGGCCCAATCAAGAAGGTGTTGAAAAATTGGGTATGTAAATTAGACTACTGCAAGATCAGCGGCGGAAAATGAAAAGAAATCTTTGGGCATTTTAATAAAGGCAAACAATTATTGTAACAATTTTGAAAGGCAAATTTTTCGGTGCCCACCGCTTTATAACCGCTCAAGCGATTTCCAGCCGAGCTCCTCCTCCAATTTATGGTTTGCGTCTTGTTGTTTTCCCAACAAATGGTGCGACCTACGGTTTATACTAAGCCGCCTCCGAACGGTCGATTTATGAGGAGCCTTTTATTAATGTCCGAAATACACTCGGAAGGGTTGACATTCCCTGCCTCAATTAGAAAATATTTAATTAAATTTTTAATTTAAATCATTTTTCTAAAACTTTTGGAATTTGAACCTTGGGCTTCGGAAAGACAGTACCGCCAATGAAGAAGATGACGAGCTGGTTTTGTTTGATCATAACTGGGGTTGAGCAGGTCTATATGTATATCTCTTCATGTTAGTAAATATTTTCCAAGAACCTCACAATTTGTCAAACGGAAAAGACTGAATAAAAGGGGTTTCCAATAGTGATGATAAGATTTCTAAGTGTCTTTTTGGCCATTTTTAAAATGTGCATGATCTGTCATTTTTCTTTTCATTGTATTCACTTATGTTTACATTTTCATCATTGCAAGATAAACGCGAGAACAACCCGAAAACGATAACTACATTTTTTTTTTTGGAAAATCATCTTCTCCGATGAGGCTCATTTTCATCGGAGTGGTAAATAAACATAACTGTCGATTTTAGTGCAAAGAAAATCCAAAAATTATACATGAACAACCGTTACATTCACCTAAATTTACAGTTTAGTGTGGTTTTTGGTCTGGTGGAGTCATCAGTCCGTACTTCTTTTGAATTGAAGCCGGTAGGACCGTTACTGTTAATGAAGAGCGATCTTTAGAGTTTTTATGGCCACGATTGGATGAAGTTTGTCTTAACAATATCTGGTTTCAATAAGACGTGGCTACGTCTCACGCAGCACTTACAACAACCGAATTACTACGAGAATGGTTTGTAGATTCGATTCTTTCAAGAAATTGTGACATTTAGACTATTTCTTGTGGGGTCATTTGAAGTCATTGGTCTTTAGCAATAAACCGGACTCTCTTCAGGTGTTAAAAGTCAATATAGAATGTACTATTCATGACTGGTTTAGTGGAAAAAGTTTTTAAAAATTTTGTTAATCGAATTCATTCCTGAAAAAGAAGTCGAGTGTACTTCACAGTAAATAGTAAACATTTGAATTCCCTCAAGAATTAGTTTTTTTTTTTTAATTAATTCACTTTTATTGGAAAACCCTATATAATGAGTAGTTTCTACTCTTTTTTTCACTGCTAACAGCTGTCGTCCAAAAATATGTTTTGTTAAAATAAAAATGATTTAAATATTTTGCTTGCGTTTCCCGCAAGGCGAATTCATAAAAGTTAGACCTGGAGAACAAAAACAACAGTTACCGTGTATTTTGTTTTTGCTTTCGCTTTTGTCGAATTGAATCAATAATTTAAAACAAAAGTCAGAAAAGAAGAAGTAGAGTAGTTTTCTTTTGTGGACTGTTTTCTTGCTAGATCCTTCTTTGAAAGGGATTAATAAATAGCGGTTAGACTAATTCATTGACTGATGTTAAGAGACTTCTAGAGTCCATACTTCTGCAGTTTATATACATATATACAATATGTATTATAGTTGATTATAATTATTATTTACAGTTAGTACTGAAAAACTATATTATATTTATCTATTAACTTATATAAACGTAATTTTCTTTTCCAAAAATTCCCCTTTATCAAATTTCTTTGGCAAACACGAATCCAGAAGGATGTAGATCCTTGATCTTGTGAAGCTTGGAAAAATTATAGATCTCCCCGTTCTACATATGTTCATACATACAAAACACAACGAATTGCCTCGACAATTTCTTCAAACAAGATTCAAGATTCCCAAACAGAAGCCAAACCCATTTTTACATACAGCTCAAAGCTCCCTGAAAAAGCGGTCCCTCAATAAACATGAGTATGACATTACAAGTCCACAGAAGCATCTTACAAGCAGAACTGTTTGAAATCATGGAAGCCGTCGAGGGACTGTTTAAATCTACGGCAACAAAACTGTCAGTTACGGTATAAATCAAACATTAGATGGTTCAATGAGATCACATGTAACGTGATCTGACAGCTATGACCAAAGTTGGAAGCGAAAAAATCCAAACATATTACCTTTCTCGGCCAGTTATCCATTATCATAACTACGGGTGTAATAACATGCAACCGTTCAATGGGGTCACGGGAAAATGGACTATTATTTCAATGATTGTGGCCGCATAGATGTTACTCTATCACTTCGAACCGCGAAGGAATGGTTTCGACGATTCAGAGCCGGTGAAAACGGTACCATGGATAAGCCAGCCGGCGGAAGACCTGTGACGACAAATACCGATCAAATCATGAAATACATCGAGTTAGACCGGCATATGACATCTCGTGACATCGCCCAGGAGATGGGAGTTAGTCACCAAACCATTTTGAACCATCTGCAGAAGGCTGGATACAAAAAAAAGTTTGATGTTTGGGTTCCGCATAATTTGACGCAAAGAAACCTTCTGGACCGAATCAACGCCTGCGATATGCTGCTGAAACGGAACGAACTCGACCCATTCTTGAAGCGGATGGTGACTGGCGACGAAAAATGGATCACATACGACAATCGTCCCAAACAGTGGCCAAGCCGGCATTGACGGCCAGGAAGGTTTTGCTGTGTGTTTGGTGGGATTGGAAGGGAATCATCCACTATGAGCTGCTCCCATATGGCTAGATGCTTAATTCTACTGCGAACAACTGGACCGCTTGAAGCAGGCGATCGACCAGAAGCGTCCAGAATTGGCCAACAGGAAGGGTGTAGTGTTCCACCAGGACAACACCAGACCACACACTTCGTTGATGACTCGTCAGAAGCTACGGGAGCTCGGATGGGAGGTTTTATCGCATCCACCATATAACCCGGACGTAGCGCCAAGTGATTACCACCTGTTCCTGTTCATGGCGAATGCCTTTGGTGGTGTGCAGTTGAACACAAAAGAGGCTTGTGAAAAGTGGCTGTCCGAATTCTTCGCAAATAAGTAGGGGGGCTTCTACGAGCAAGGTATTATGAAGTTGCCGTCTAGATGGAAACAGATCATCGAACAAAACGGCGCATATTTTAACTAAATCCGATCACTGTAACACTTTTTATAAAGCATTGAATGAAGAGCAAAAAAGCGGAAGGGAGATATTTGACAACCTTTATAAACAAAAATACAAAACATAAACAAACATTTTGGCAGGCTTTACACTGAAGCGCAGTAATTAAATAAAACAAAGTTGAGTTCGCTGCTCTAGTAACTCCACCTTGATAAATTCACCTTGGTTTCCCGTACAAATTCATCAATTTCTTTCTTATAATAGAACTTTTTTATCCAGATAAATGTTTTCAAAATAAGACATAATTCAATTATTGCAAATAAGGAAATTTTTATTGCATTATCTTTTTTTGGAAATTTGACTTGGAATAGCTAATGTTCTGAGAACGTAGAGTAAACCCCTTTTGATTATTTATTTTGAATAATTCTACGCTTAAACGATTTTGTTCTTAGTTCGCTTGATTCATTTGAAAATATTGTTTAATAGTCCTTTATATCTATAAGACTTTCCCACTTAATTGCACAAAGGCTCTAAAAAGTTGGCTAATGATGAAATGTTGGCGACCAATAAACCCAATGATTTTGATGAATGTGCCTTTCCTTTCTTTCCTTTCTACTTGCTTTGTTCTTTTTATATTACGGCACTTTTATTTGTACAATATTTTTTGCTTTCGTTTATGTGATTTGTCTTTGTCTCCGTTTCGTGCGTGTTTTTGTTTCGAACGGTTCAATGTTTTCTTGTTGGGTTGGTCAGTGACTCAATGTCAGTCATTGGATATTCAAGTTATCAGTAGTTTGTGTCTTTATAAATTCGACGAGAATCCACCTAAAGTCATTCAAATTTTTGATGTTTTCGCTTGCACACTTTGCATTGAGAAGTGAAGTAAGTATGTAGTATGTACGAGATTACATTTGGTGGTTATTGTACTCTGCTCTTTTTATCATAAATTGGCAAGCCGAAAGACAGTATTTGAAGGCTTGGTCTTATGCTTTCTATAATTTGATTGCAGACCATGTTAAACACAGTTCACTTCGGTATCTACTGTCTTTTCAAAGTAATATTATTGCGTATAACTTTAACGTTTTGTTTAACATTTATATGTTTGCTTATAAAAATTTAATTGATTTCTTATAACATAACCTCTATTAAATAGTGTGAATAATAATTTAATTATACTATTATTTCCTTTCCATTTTTATATCCTTCCAGCATGAGTCGTCCATCACATCAACGCACAATGCCGCAACCGAAGCCGCCGAAGCAGTACCTTACCGAGCAGGAGGCAATCGCTGCCTCCGAGCTCTTCGATCTCTTCTGTGTCGCGACGACAATGCGTCAAATTTTGGGCTTGCATCGCGACATGTGCGATATATTGGGTTTGCGTCCTTCACCGATAAACGAATTCTATCCCATGTTGAAGGCGAAGATACGTTCGTGGAAAGCGCAGGCGCTGTGGAAGAAATTCGATGCGCGTGCAGCTCATCGTGTTTATGCGAAAGGAACAGCGTGCAATGGCACGCATGTGCTAGTCATTGGCTCAGGTCCATGTGGTCTGCGCACCGCCATTGAGGCGCAATTACTGGGTGCCAAAGTTGTTGTGCTAGAGAAACGCGATCGCATCACGCGCAACAATGTTCTGCACTTATGGCCGTTCGTTATTACCGATTTACGGAATTTGGGCGCAAAGAAATTTTATGGAAAATTTTGCGCCGGCTCCATAGATCACATTTCGATTAGGCAATTACAAATTATTTTGATGAAAGTAGCATTGCTATTGGGTGTTGAGATACACGAGAATGTGTCCTTTGAGCGGACAATTGAACCGAGTGGTGATGGATTCGGTTGGCGCGCGGCAGTGACGCCTGCGGATCATGTGGTTTCATATTATGAATTCGATGTTTTAATCGGAGCTGATGGTAAACGCAACACACTAGAAGGTTTTAGACGTAAGGAGTTTCGTGGCAAATTGGCCATTGCCATTACGGCGAATTTTATAAATAAGAAAACAGAGGCAGAGGCCAAAGCGGAGGAGATTAGTGGTGTGGCTTTTATATTTAATCAGTCTTTCTTCAAGGAGCTCTACGAGAAGACCGGTATCGATTTGGAGAATATTGTTTATTACAAAGACGAGACGCACTATTTTGTAATGACAGCGAAGAAACATAGTCTCATCGATAAGGGTGTGATTTTGCAGGTGAAATGTCTATTTAAAAAAAAAAAAAGTTCATTAAATTTTGCAATAAAATCTGTGTCGCTTTAGGATTTCTCCGATCCAGCGGAACTGCTAGCGCCAGCTAATGTAAGCACCGACAAGTTGCTTGATTACGCACGCGAAGCCGCCGAGTTCTCCACCAAGTACCAAATGCCAAATCTTGAATTCGCTGTGAATCATTATGGCAAACCGGATGTCGCCATGTTCGATTTTACATCCATGTTCGCCGCGGAGACATCATGTCGTGTTATGGTGCGTCACGGTCACCGCCTGTTGCAATGTTTAGTGGGTGATAGCTTGCTAGAGCCCTTCTGGCCCACAGGGTCTGGTTGCGCGCGCGGCTTCCTCTCCAGTATGGACGCCGCATATGCGACCAAATTGTGGTCGAATACACGTAATAGTATACTCGGTGTGGTTGCACAGCGTGAAAGTATATACAGGTAAAATGTAATAAAAAAGCATTAACAATAAAATGATTTAAAAAAAATTTACTGCCTAGGCTCCTCAATCAAACTACACCTGAAAATCTGCAACGTGACACTGGCTCCTATACCGTTGATCCGGCATCAAGGTATCCAAATCTAAATCGTACTGCTGTCAATCCATTGCAAGTTAAAACACTTGTGGATTCAGATGATCCCAAAGTATTTGAGCAACCAATAGGAGAAATTATCACTACACCAGCTCTGGCTGAGGCGCCAGCGCTGCTACGCAAAGCGCGACGTAGTACAGGTAAGCTTTGTGTGGCCAGAAGGTAGGCAGAAATGGACTTCTTCATTAAATAAGAGAAGCAGGTTTTCGAAGTCCAGCACATCCTATTTCAATCAAGCATGGGATAAACATGGCGCTATCACAGCGACAACCAAAATAATATGCACATTTTTGATCTGTTCGGAGTTCGGTTTAAACGTAGAAAAAAGGTTATATATAATATAATTGTCGCTTTGTAACCGCTGAAGCGGTTTTCGGTCTAGCTCCTCCACCAATTTGTGGTTTTGCGCCTCCGAACGGCTGATGGTTTTTTTTATGAGGAGCTTTATTTCATGTCAGAGGTTGAAGTTCCCTGCCCTGGTGACTGCAACTAGATTTAGAATTTTTTATTTAAATTAATTTTCTGTAACACATTTAAAACTGATAAGATAAACCACAGTACCCGGGTAATGAATTAAAGAGTTTAAGTAAGGCTTATAATTTATTTTTGAGTTGACGTGCAATTTTAGAAAATATTGATAAATGTAAAAATCAATCAGAGAATAAATATTCTAATTTTTGCTATATTTTTATTTAATTTTTTAAAGGAGTAAAATTTGAGTTCTTTTCTTTTATGACGTTTTAAATTTTACGAATCAATATATTTTTAATCATTTCAATATAACTGTTTTGTAGTTTTTACGGGTCAACTTAAAAAATAAATATGCATGAAAGCTACTTCGTTTCCTTACTCCTTCTCAAACCATCAACACAAAATCAAACAGCAAATTTTTCTGTTACCTCTTATTTCACTGGTAACATTATTTACAGGGTGACAGTGAACTCAGAATACGAAATAGTAACAAAATTTATTGAATGGTAAATTTTAATACCAAAGTAAATTTTGTTACCTCGACAGAATAGGCCTGTATATATTTAATATGGAAACAATGAAAATCGATAACAACAATTATTTTGAGGCTCATTTACAGAAATCATTAAAATATGCTTTTATTTTATACTTTTAGACATCGTGCCAGAAGCACTGCTTCATTGGGTCTGCACTCAATTGCACATGTACGATTTCGCTAAGGATATACAGGAACCTGCCGATATACTTAAAAATGGAAAATCACTATGCGCCTTAATAAGCCGGTAAAAAGTGTTTAATACATATTCTATTTCAACGTTAAATAAGTCCCAACTCATTTATATTGTAATTTTTGTGCAGATTTCGGCCGGACTTAATCGACTATACAGCCGTACGTGACTTATCAGTTGCTGAACGTAACGAAATTGCTTTTAGAATATTAGAAACTGAATATCAACTGCCACGAGTTATGAGCGGCGAGAAAACCGTCGAACTGGGAAAAGCCGACACTCGTCTCTGGTTACACTATCTGAATCAAGTGCGCGAACTATTCCGTGGGGAAGTGCCGTATTTGAAACATCCGAAGATGGACATTACTGAATTGCGTGAAAAATATCGTCTTAATAACGCGCACGCTCAACCAGATTTCTCAAAACTATTGCAATTCTCTACTAAACCTAAATATCCGAAAGCAAAAAGTCCCATCGAGGATATGGTGGATATACCACAAGTGGTGCAGCGACGCTCAGTGTTGGATGAGGAGCGTGTGAAACGCGTGCGCAGGCATGAGCCACTGGCTGCTGGTAGTGCAGCAGCAGGCAATTCGCCACAGCAAGGTACGTGTGTAACTGAATTGAAAAGGTATCAAAAGTGCTGATATTAAATGCTTATTTATGTTGTTTTTTGCAGGTCAAACTGACACACCACGTCGTGCAAAGAAGAGAAGAAACGCCGAAAAAGCTGCTAATATTGTGAGTACCACAATTGCGGTAATAAAGGATGCTATTGTAAATTACATTTTCAGACATTGAAAAGTGATCTCAGTAAATATTCTGCAGTGGAAATTATCAGTACCATAACGTATATAAAGTTGATTTTGAAGTAAAGAAGCCACATTTGGGCATTTGATAAACTCGAAAAGAAAAATTTGAAATTGTTGATATTTAATGTTTTTAAAAATTGCACATTTCATTGGATTTATTTCGCTTTTCATTATTTAAGATTTAAATAAACGTAAAATTTGATTCCATAAATATAAGGAGGAAGTTAAATGAATGGTACTTTAAGAATCCAAAAATTTCGATGCACATATTTACGTCGATATGTAGAAATTTATAAACAACAAAAGGAATTTTTAAAATGAATTTAAGAGAGTTTTTTTTTAGATCGCAAAGAACTTAAAATTTTTTTTAGCAAAGAATTTAAAATATTAAAAAAAAAACATTTTTTTAGAAAACTTTCACATTCAAACTGATCACTTTTCAAGTTCGTCCAAAAACAAATTTGTGCAGCCAACAACGAGAAAATTATTGTTATAATTTTACATTTGTATATTTGATCTCATATACATAATTTTTATTGTTTGTAAATTAATTTCATTTGAAAACAAAACAAACCAAAACCATGGTGTATTATTATTTTCATAAGGTTCATATTATGCTAGACCGCCATCAGAGTACATGCATCGTCATTAATGAGTTTTCAGATCGACAATCTGAGGTATTCATCATCACATACATATTATATACACATAATATTTTTTGTTTTATCATGTTTCATGCATTTTTCATGCAACCAAATCCATGCTATTAACCTACCGTTACACATACATAGTATATTGAAATTTTTGTGTGTGTATGTAAAAAAAAGAAGAAAAGAATTGCATCTATCAAACAAAACCTATCCACTTACTAAATGCATTCGCATACCAAAGCAGCTAAAAATGAAATCTCTTAATTATGTTTAACACGCATATATATATATATATATATATGTATGTATACCCAACATTCAATCCCTTTGCTCAATTTGCCATTTGCTGTTATTACAAATTATTAGGAAGAACGTCAAAAGCGTTTACAAGAAATCGAGCAAAATCGTCAGGAGCGTCAAAGTAAACGACGTCAACAACGTTACCAACAAACGCAGAATTTTTACAAAAGTTTGCAAATGTTACAAGTCAACACCTTGCTGCGGGAAACCGATGATCCAACAGCATTCGATGACTACTCATTGTTCATATATCGCCAACAGGCACCGGAATTCAATGATCGCGTAAAGGATTTGGAACGCAAACTGCTGTTTCCTGTAAGATAGTTAAAAAGAAAAATCGTTGTGTTTGTTTGTCTGTTGCTTGCCTGCCTGCCTGCCTGCTTGTCTGCCTGCCACTGTGTATGACCACGTGAAGGGTGTAATGCTACACATATGTACGAGTTATATATGTATGCCCTGCTAACTTATTTTCCATGGAATGCAGCTGAATATGCATATAACGCAATGAATAACGATGTTTACCGTTGATAATAAATAATAATTTTTATTAAACTGTGTATTTTGAAACAGCTGTGCTGTAGTTGGAATTGAATTTCCGATTTTTTTGATAAACAAAAAAAAAAGTACAAAATTTTATATATTTTAAGCTGTAAAGCTACAATTGGGGCTGATCCATTGATAATTACAACAAAATTTGATTTCCTATCTGCCGAAATCATACATATTTTGATTCTTTGGGTTATTTTTATGTAGGTATATTTGGCTTCAAAACTCAAAATAGCGCCGCAATTTCAGTATTCTACCTCGAATGCCTTTAAAAATTGCAAAACTAAAAATCGTGTCTGGCTTAAATTTCTTAAATACCTACAAACTCGTGTGTATATATAAATCTCCTAAAGTATGGCCACCCAATTCGGTTTACATGCCTATAAACATATCTGTACAGAGGACGGCCGAAATATCTGAGTGATTAGTACTGCCATTCTGAAAAACGGCGTTGGAGTCCTGATTCGACCAATATCCAAATTTATAGAAAATTAATTTTTATAGTTGCGTTCGCCCCTCGGCAGGAAATGTGAGGCGCTCGCAAGTGTATTTCTGATATGAAATAAAAGCTCCTCTTAGAAATCCATCGGCCATTCGGAGGCGGCTTAGAATAAACTGTAGGTCTTTCCAAATATTAGAAAACATCTAGACGCATACCACGAACTGGAGGAGGAGCTCGGCTGAAAATCGCTTGAGTGGTTATAAAGTGCCAATATATGTATGTATTTGCATATAATAGTCACCTTTTAGCTGTCTGAACGGGTTATTTTTCCCCGATCTTCTACAATTCATGGCGCTCTCCTTGAGAGTTACCATCAGATGGGGAAGGAAGAACTAAATTGAAGTTTAAATTTTTATATTTAAGATTAAACTTTTATATTTAAATTTTTATACTAAATGCAAAAGTCGCAGTTAGGAAGTATTTTATTCATTATTTTTTTGGCACTCGAAACAGAATTTTGCAATATCTGCTTATATTTTATTTTATAAAAATATAGGAGCTTTATATTTTGAAGGATTGATCTGTTATTAATTTTTACATGTTCTTTTTTTTTTTTTTGTTTGATATCGCAACTAACATCAGTGTTGGCGACTAATTTATTTGTGTAACAATTTGCAAAAATGCGATTACCCTGCAGCGAGTTTTATTTAATCATTTTGAGTTTAATTGCGTTTTCGTTCAATTATTGCCTTAATTATGTATGTATATTAATTTTTATTATGCAGATTAATTTCGATATTTGTGGTATTATATTATTTTAATTCGAAATCGTGTTTTTTTCTTTCTCTTCATCCATAATCCACTTTCTTTTCCGCCATTTTACTTTGGTAAAAAAAAATTTTCGCCATCACACACACAATATTTCCCCATTTTTAATATCCCCCCTTCTACGACCTCACCGCAAATCGTTGACTATCGATAAAATTCGCTACTTATGACGTATAAAAATAATAAGGATCGCAATCGCGGAGATATACCATCCGCTATGCCTCGCAATAATCCCGATGAGCAGTTTAGTGATCGCATTAAATCCATGGAACAACGTATTAGCTCGAAGAATGCCTGTGGCACTGATAAGAAACCTAAAGATTTAATGCGTGCCATTGGCAAGATCGACAGCAATGATTGGAATGTGCGCGAAATCGAGAAGAAAATCGAACAATCGAAACGAACGGAAATACACGGCCCCAAGGGACGTGAAAAAGTGCCGAAATGGAGTAAAGAACAGTTCTTGGCGAGACAAAATAAAATGGCAAAGCCAACTCGGCAAGAGTCGGTGGAAGAGAAATTCAAAGAGATCGATCAAACATTAAAGAATTTAGATAAACAATTGAAGGAAGGTTCAATACTTGAGGTCGGTGAACGTGGTCGCAACAAGGTTGCCTCAATTGCTGGGCAATTTGTGAAGAAAGATGATAAGACAAGCGAAGAAAATCTCAATCCTGCCACAGGCAATGTTGCGTCCAAACCAGTGAGTAATGTGCTGGTGGGAGTCGACTTTACTGAGAATTTTCATAAAAGTTATTGTCACGGAATTAATTATTTTTAATTTATCTCCATCTCTACATACGAGTATAAACTTGTTTTGACTATGATTGTGATTTTCATCACTGAGAGTTCAGTAAAATCGGCTCCACAGCATTAATTTGATTTTTTTTTGTATTGTTTGGGTTTTGTATATTTGTTTTGTGTATTTTTATCGTAAACTTTCGTTGTAGCGGAAAATTTCTTTAATTTATTTTAATACATTTCAACTATTTGATTGCTTATTTATTTTTGTTTTTCGTTAATTTGATTTTTCGCGAAACAAGTTATTTTGTATTATTGAGCTTTATAGGTGTTAGATTTTCAAAGTGTACCTCTCATCCATTGTACATAAACTCATACTTAGCACTCATACTCAAAACATCATCATCATTATTATTATTATTATTATTATTTTAACAAAGTACTGCAAAAAACTAATATGCCACACCAGTTTTATATACTGATATTTTTCAAATATTAATAATTTGTGTATTTCCCCCAACCTAACAGAGCGCCAAAGTTGCGCTGGCATTCAAAAAGCAAGCCGCATCCGAGAAGTGCCACTTCTGTAAACAAACCGTTTACCTAATGGAGAAGGTCACCGCTGAAGAGCTTGTATTTCATCGTTCGTGCCTGAAGTGTCATCATTGTCAGACCAATTTGCGCCCTGGCGGCTATACGTTCGATCGTGACGATCCCAATGGTCGCTTTTACTGTACTCAACACTTTAGATTACCAGCGAAGGCTGTGCGGCCGGTGGCCAGGAAACCAGGTCAAAGGGTAAATAACAACAATAATTTCTACACCGCCTTCACATATAAATTCACTACCAAAAATTATTCCTTTTCAGAAGCCCACTCAGCAACAACAAGCTGCTGCTGCAGCAGCTGCTGCTTCAGAGCAGGCGCTTACAGCTGGAGACGGTGCAAGCGGTGTTGTACCTCTGGCAGATTCACTAAAAACACCAGATAAGTTACGTGGACCTGCTGACAATGTAGTACAGCTTGATTTGATGGATCGTGGTCAAACGCCGGAGCGTATTGAATTCGAAAACACTGATGCTATGTCGGATGGTGAACCCTCAGAGGAACATATATTGGATGAGCATGAGTGGTCTGGTAGAAATTTCTTGCCTGAATCCAATCAGGACTCTGAGTCCGATCTCTCCAGCTCCGATGATACGGACAGTGAGTCCGATGCTTATATGTTCGGTGAGGCAAATGATTCGCCGTTGGGTGCGCAAACCTTGCAATTGGCCACCGATTGGATCGGCAAGCAGCATTATAGTGATAGTGATGATTCAGACGACTTTTATGATTCAAGTGATGGCATTGCGGGTGAGTGGTGTATATGTGAATATGTATGTATTTATCAGTTATAAAATTCCGGTTAGGGAATTAATTAAAATTTTACACTAATTGGATGAGGATAAAAAATTAATTATGTTAATATAGCGATGAACGTTGCGCTGTCTTTTGTCCTTTTTGAAAACTAGTAAATTTGTAGTTAATGTTTTTTAAAACATCAAAAATCATATGAGCAGTTACGTTACTTTTAAGCTCCTTATGCGACTCATTGAATGTAGAAATCACAAATATCTAGTCCCGTGCAAGATAAAATACCCAACGAGCGTAGTTATAATTCTTCTTTGTCATTTTTAATTAGACATGGGATAAATATTATTTTATAAGTGAGGAGAGTTATAGTGAAAATTGATTTAGCCTACTACCAAGCAATAATATTGTACAATATTTTTTTTTATATTATAGATGATGACGGTAAGGATGATACTGAAGCTGAAGGCGAAGATTTTAAAAAGGCTCGTGAGCGACGCCGAGAGGAAGTGCGTTTATTGCCACTACCCGCTAATTTGCCAACTGATACCGAGACTGAGGTGAGCTTTTAAATAATTGAAATAGTGCTTTTACTCATCGCCTTTGTAAAAACTATTACAAGAAATATAATTTTTTTTTGTATTTATTTTCTTCAAACTAATGTCATCAATTATACGAACATGCAAACATATGCAATTTAATGGTGTTGGTTTCATTAATACAAACTTTTACTTAAATTATTCAAACTTCAATGAAAACTAGGTTAATTTAGCTGGTGAAAATGAAATTGGTGTTGATGATGTAGACATGGTTGCAGCAGATAATGCAGCCGCTGAAAAGTCAGTCTCAAATCAAAATCTAATTACAGATATTGATAAACGTTCTGAAAAGTCTGAAGCCGATTCAGACAAATCATTCAAATCGGCGGATTCAACGATCGGTGAAATCACATCTCTGCCTGCAAAAGGCTCGTTTTTAACATCACCACCAACCAAAGCTGACATTGAGAAGTTGGAACAGAGCACGGGACGACGCTTTAGCGCTGAAATTGAGGCAATCAATGAAAAATTGCATCGCCTGAACAGCGTGGTAAAAATGAGTAAAGATCTCGAGACCATAGCCAAAGAGAATTTGGTAAAGAGCGATATTCTCAAGAAGTTGACTATGAAAGAGAAGTGGTTGGCTGATAATTCGGCAGTCGGTTCAAACTCACTAGCACCAAAATCGGCATTTGACAACCGATTCGCACCAAAACAGGTTATACTAAAAGAGCAGCAGAATAATAGCAAAACTCTCAGTACGAACGTTTTATCTGACTGCAATCAATCGAGTGTAGCTAAAGCTGACATGGTTTTGGAAGCTATAAAAACCGAAATAAAATCTGAAATTGATAGAGAGGAAGCCAAAGCGGATGCTCAAGCGAAAACCCATCCCCCAAAGGCTACATCACCTGAAGAATTACTGGCGAGTTTAAAAGCTGAGATTAAATCTGCCGCTCTCAATCGTCAGGGTAGTCTCAAAAGGCAACAATTAAGTCCTACAGCCAGTCCTAGTGCTAGTAAAAAACTCAGTGCAAGTACAAGTCGTTCCAATAGTTTCAAAGAGAAAGAACCAACAAAAAATGGTGGCGAAGTAAGTCGAACAAACAGTCTTAAGCGTTCTGAGAAATTCGTATCAAAGAATGAGGCCATAACAAATGATAGTCGCATGCAAATACAAAATATTTTGGGCCTTGTAAAGAGCAACGATAAAAAACAAGAGACCGAAACTAGCAAAGATAAACCCCTTGGTCCGAATAGATCAAGTTCTGACATGGGTAAATTATTTTACGATGCTGAGAGTAAGTTCTCACCGAAAGTGGATCGCCGTTTGATGCAAGAGAAATTGAAGGAAATTGAAGCAAAGAGCTTCTCCGGTACTATGGATGCCATAAAATCGCAAATGGTTATGCCCACCGTCAGCGCACAGGCAAACCCAAGCGTCGATCTTTCCAAATACTTTCCCGATCAGAAGCAGCAAAAATCAAATTCTGCGGCAGTGAATAAAAATCAAAAGAACTTGAAAGACGTTGATTTGGCGAAATATTTTCCGAGCAGCCCTACCCCGCAGCGACGCAGTACGGTAGTTACAGTAGCTGATAAATTGAAGAAGTCGCAAACGGAGAATGCCATTGCACCAGCGCCGAATAATAAGACCACAACGACCGTTAAGCCGAACAAGCTTGCGCCTAAAAAGCAGGCATCACTTGGTGATGCCGGGTTCAGTTTGCGCGATCATCAATTGGATGGTGCTGTTGACTTGTCGAAGAAAAGCACACCTCTAATACTTAGCAAAAGTGCTGCTCCGCTGAAAACGGCTTCGTCGACCACTGGCACGGCCACGGTCACAAAAACAACAGCAGCCACTGCTGCCGTGACAAAAAAGGGTAATATCAAGATCATAAAGAAAATTGTGCCTAAAAAGAAAACAGCCGGTGGGAGTACAACAGCGAATAAAGATAATAATAAATCCATTGTGCCACGCGATGAAACGGATCGTGTACTCGATGAGATACTGCAATCCTCCGATAAGGAAATGCATTCGCCAAGCGCTGAGTATTTACAGCTATTCAAGGAGGAGAAGTCCCCCAGTGAAGACGTTTCAGATAAGGTTGAGCGCATCTTTCAGGAAACTGGTATTGATTTAGCCATTGCCCAACGACCAATGAGCGCCAATAAAAAGCGTCTTTTGAAAACTAAATCACTGGGTGAAGGTGAATTCGAACTCAATAATGTTAAAGAGAAACATCTGCAGATGGACGAATTGAAAACGAAAGAAGATGGTGATCGGCCCATCGGAGTACAAGGTTTGCTGGCACGCTTCGAGTCAATGAGTTCGGTCAAATCTTCGGAGCAGTCCTTTAAGCTACGTCGTATGGAGTCCAATATGAGCAATTTGACTAAATCACGTGAATCAATAATATCGCATGATTCTATTATGTCGCGTGAATCAGACTCCATGAGTGATTTGGAGAAAACAATGGAATATCTAAAATCCGAATGGCGTAACGAAGCAACCAATTTTCTGCAGAACAAACGAGAGAATTTCTTCTCCAAGAAACGCGCTATTGAAGAAGAAGCAGCAGCTACTCAAAGCGAAGCACAAAAGAAAACCAAATACGAGGATTTGCCAGTGCAATATCGCGAGTCGAAAATCGCCAAGTTCTTCGGTATCAAGTCCAATAGATCCCCCGAAAAGACTAAAGCACACCCCCTTAAAACCATATCACCAGAAAAGAAGATTGCTACAAAAACAGCGGCGACTGTGAAGAAAAGTATGTTAAATGGTGGCACGGTAAAAAAATCGCTCTCTCCCAAAAAGCAAACAAATAAAGGTGTGGGAAAAAATGATACAAAAACGCAGGCGCCAGCAAGTTTACAACTTCACACAAAAGATAGTAAACGTAAGTCGCCGTCTCCGGTTAAAAATGCAAATGCAAAAAAGCACAACCAAATAAACGGAAACGTCAATAGCGCAACAGTCAAAGAAACCTCAAAGGTGCAAGTTACTCCAAAGAAGTCGATTTCACCACCCAAACATCAAATGGAAGATTACGAAACAACACTCCTAGTGGAGAAGGGAAGTATGGCAAGCTCAGGGCTTAAGTCAATACCTATTAATAATATGGTGGATACTACGACTGAAGCAGCTACCGAATTAAAAGTTAACGGCCAAACAACGACCCAGATTCCGGAAACAACTGCGGAGCCGGAGACGGTTGCGGAACATATTATATTATCGCATCAAAACTCTACCAACTCTGATACGTCAGCACCAACAACACCTGTTTTAAAGAGACGACCTTTAGTAGAAGATATACGAAATTTGCCTAAAACTGGTTGCGATAAATCACTTAGCAATTCTCGCCGTAATTCCCAAACAAGCTTACATTCACGACGCTGTTCGGATGTTTCATTGCAAGAGAAGCTTGACACGGCCGCTCTGAAGTTAACACAGATTTCGTCTAACAATGCCAATAGTAATGTGGAAGAGTTGTTTCAAAATATTGTGGAACGTTTGTCAAATGAACAGACTGTGTGCACTCCTAGCGGAGAGGAGTGTGATTCGCTGCGCACATCGATTAGTAAAAGTCCTAGTGCTGCGCCAACTACGGTGCGTATGCGTGGATCGTCCGAAGATGAAAGTATTGAAAAGCTATTTAGTCAATTCTCAGATGAAATGCTGGTAAACGTAGAATTTGATTCCAATGATGAATTAATAGGAATCACACCACGCGTCCCTTTGCCAGGAAAAAGTGAGGAGAATGATGATTTTGTGGATAGACTAGAGTCGCTGGAAAAGGATGAAGTATCCATGCCGTCGCTTCCTATAGTTGTTGAATCTGTACAAATGGCTAGCGAGTGCGCAGAAATAGCACATGAAAATGGAAATACGAAAACAGCGACGGAGGCACAAATATTACTTGAAGAGACCGATGGGAATGCTCTGACCAACCCAACTGGTAATAGAACAGGCCCACTATCATTAGAATATATACAGTCTATGCTATATATGGAAGCACCTGAAACACCCTTCCCATCACGACCGCAACGTAGACAGAAAAGTACTTCGTCTTCCAGTGAAACTTCAGTGCCCATCGCTCCACAGCGGATCAAGCATAAATTAGCAAAACTAAGACCCGAAAATATGCCGCCATCAGTGCAGGACTTAATGCAAAATGAGTTCACCAAAAGTTTGACAGCTGAATTGGCAGCAACTGGTGGCATTACACTTCAGAAATTCCCACGCAACATTTCCGAAGATGAATTAGAGGAAATCAGGGAAAACAGAGAAAGTACGAATGGTTTTTCTAAGGAGATCGTTGTTGTTGAAAGTGATAATCAAAAATTCAAGGGCGCCGTAATTAATAAAGATGAAGAACAGACTTTGAATACTAGACCGCTAGGTTTGTCCCAGCCGGCGACGAAGACAAAAGAATACGACGATCCAGCCTGTCAAAATTCCGTAAGCACTGAAGTGTCAGATGTTGTATTATCTACTTTAGTACAAAAATCTCCGAGCAACTCACGTAAGACTTCACTGGTGTCTGTTAATGGGACAAATAGTAGTAGTCCTCTTTCGGAACATCCAGCTATGGCGGTCTCCTCTAGCGCACCAGCCATTAACGAAGAAAAGTCAATACTCAAAGAGAGTCCACTCTTACCACGCAAGTTATCTCCACCTGCAGTCAATGCGGAAATTTTGAGCTCTAATAACTCTCCCGTTATGCCACGGAAAACATCCATTTCAAAAAGTAGTCCATTGCCACAACGTAAACTCTCACAATCTTCCCTTAATGACAGAATTCAATCTCCAAGAAGCTCTCCCAAGCACTCTCCTGTTACAAAAAGTAAATTGTCGCACATCACCAACAACGCAGTCGCCGATTCCCCACTAATGCAGTGGCGCTTATCACAAGCATTGGCTGACGCAGACGCTTCGACACCAACGCTTACTGACAATAAAAATGCTATAAATGCCAATCAAAATCAGTTAGAGACTGACAATTTGAAGACTAATAAAGATATGCTGAATGCACCGACGTCAAGTAAAGCATCAAGTAAGGAACGTTCACTTGAATGGGACATGACCAAAATGCCAGCAAGCCCAATGCCACGTCGTAAATTCATTCATGCTGAACGTCGTGGCCTTGAGGAGGCAAGAATCAAAGACGTTTCACCAACGAGCTCAATAAAAATACTAAATAATCTTTCGTCCAACAGTAGTGACTCCGAAGAACGTCGTATAATTGAAGATTTCGAAAAGGAGCGACGTCAAGCATTAATACAGCGTGACAAAGAATACCAAAAACTAGAGAGAAAAGAAGCTCAAATTGCACAAAAAGAAAAGAACGTCCCAACCAGTAGTGTCAATAACAGTAACAACAACTCTAAGGGCAACACTCCGCGTCCAACACCGTTAAGCTCACGACGTGGCACTCAGGACAGCATTAATAGTACGCAAAGAGAATGTACACCACCAAACTTTAAGAAACTTGTCATACCAACCGACACAGAAGACTTGCCTTCGCTAAGCTCGCGTTGCAGCTCATTCGCATTTATAGAGTTAATGAGTAATGGCGAGGCAAGAGAAGCGCCGATGCCACAGAAGTTAAAAATCCCGCCAAAGCCACAGCCCATAACATTGCCACAGATCGACGAACCCGTAGCCGAGGTATTTCGAAACAGACCGTGGCCCAAACCCGACGGGTTCTCGCCAGAAATGGATACAAGCGACTCACCCGATACTGTAATCGAGGTGAAACGCGCCAATTCAGAACCAAAGTCACCGGTCGCCGAAGTATTCCGTAATCGCAAATGGCCTGATGGCAAAACAGTTTTCGATGATAATGCCGACCAGCAAGACTCGGACGAGGAAGATTTTCTTAGAAATTTGAAGCATAATAGAAGTAGATATAGAAAAATGCAGTCACATTCACCACAACCGATGCGACGCAGATTGACCAGCGATGAATTAAATGATGAAAAAAGTGCATCAAAATCAGTATCAGACTTACATAAAAAATCCCCAAGTACGAGTGAAACTTACGAATCTGAATTGTTGCCTTTCGATCTCGGTACGCGCTCAACCCGCTCAAGCGCTGAAAACTCATCCACGCACACACCGCTTAGTGGCGCAGGACTTTCGGTGCCCAAACGTCCAACTCGACACGTAGTACCTGCAGTACAAACGCCCGAACAATCGATGGATGCCAGTACAAGAATGCTACTCGACCGCAGTAAACGCTTGCATAATCGCAAGAGCGAATTCATCAACGAACGTGCAGCTGAGCGTAATCCCTATTTACGTGATGTGGTGAAAGCAGAGCGCATAGAACGAGAGGCATACGATGCGGCCGAAGAGGACCTCGACTGTTATCGACCAAATAGCTATAGGAGTAATAAACCGCTGACGCGTTTTCCAACGTCGCGCACGCTTGGCCGTGAACGTAGCGGTATATCAAGTAGCAATTACAATTACGCAGCACCTGCTTATGGCACCGACTATGGGCTGAGTAACAAGCGCCTTTATGGCAGTAGAACATTACCGGGTAACACCAGCACAACAACATCTCTAAACTACAATCCGTATATTAGTGGCAGCAGTGCGGCCTATGGCGGTAGTACACTGGGGCGCAACATGCATTTCAATGACTACACGAGGCGTAGTCCTTCGCGTCATCATGATCGTGAACACTCCAGAGAATCGTGCGTTATAGTCTAGAAGACAAATATATTTTTATTTTTTACTATTTACGAATTGCACTAAATTTCCACATTTAACATTAGATTTTGGAGATATTAATACAATGCAAAAAAAAATGTACAAAAGGGAAATGAAGGAAAACCAAGAAGCCTCTTAAAAAAGAATGCAATAAAATTAATAAAATATTCAAATAAAATTAAATTCAAAGAAATTAATAAAAAAAATAAGTAATTGTTTTTTACAAACATACACATATTTTATAAAGCCAAGAATAGAAAAAAAGATAACCATAGAATGAAACCAACGCCAATTTATCCACAAAAATACACTTGAATATCAAAATTCTTAATTATAAACACATTAAAAAATCCAAAACATAAACATTAACAAAATGAAAAAAAAAACAAGAAGAAACATTCGTTTAAATGCTCCTACGACCGACCCACCACATCGACCAACCAACGAACCAAGCAACCAACAACAACCATTCAACCAAATACGTCTACCTAACTGCCCGCCAGCTTATTTATGCTCGGTGTGCCCACAAAAACGCATAGCATATCCTTGAATGCGGTTAATAAAGTTATCTCCCACACATTCACATTTAAGCGGAAAAGGAAAAGAAACACATATTGAATGAAAAACTTAAGATAAAGTGCTAAGTGCGAGTTGTGATGGCTAACACTCAAAATAACGACCGGGTACGATCTCTGAAGGTAAAAAACAACTAATACTTAATCCAAGAAAATCATTCTGCTGCGCTTTGGCAATTAAGCGCCGATTGCTATACTTACACCAATTGCTTACACAACTCAATTCTGCCTTTGTATGTATACTCAAAGTTAAAATCGAGTTTCGAATCGATATTAACACGGAATGATACACATAACCAACCATCGTCACGGGCTGATTGAATTGATCATTAACCCGCCGTTTCAACGTTACTTAACATACGTTTGCCAAATTTTGCTCAGCGCATTTTATGCTAATACCTACCTCAAGTCTAATTAATAATAAAAATTAAAACATTTCACATTAAATAAATACAAAAACCGCTCCTCAAGTGTACTACTTGTGATCATGCCTTGTGCCGTATGCCTTTTCGGATCGTACCTTTATGCCGATATTTGTTTTGTAAAGAATTTAAATATCATTCTTGTTCTCATAGTTTTGCATGCCGAATCCATATGCTAAGAAATTTTTACCGAATACGACTTAACTCCGACTAAATCTCTAGTAACAGACCACCACAGCCAATGTTCGACCGTTTAATATGCCATTTTGCCTCACTTTTTTTTTTTTAATCATTGCTTTGTTTTTTGTTTAATGACTGTGTACTTGAACAAACATTTACAGTGTTTTATAAATTCATAAGTGTATTTTAATAGCCGATTTCGTATTGAACTAAAAAAAGGAGTCGACATAAGTGAAAACCCAATTTTATGAGTAATTAATGATGATGTAAATTTGCATTGCAGGTTCAAAGCGAATCGGAAAGTTCATCTCCCGATAAGGCTGAGCTTAATTCAGCAACAGAAATATCTACGGACTCGGAGTTCGATCATGATGAAGTTATACATGAGACACCCAAAATATTCATTGACGATACTCACCTCAGGAAACCAACGAAAGTTCAAGTGAGTCGCAAAGATACAATACATTTAACGGGTTACTTCTAGTTAGCAGCCCAAAAAATGAGGTTTTTCATACATATTTCACGGGGAAAGTTTTAGCTTTATTATTTTGAGCATTTGTGCACATATTATGGCACCTTTGAAGAGTAGTCAGCAATTTTTTATTTGCAAAAATAACAGTTTTTGAAGATCTCCAGGGACCCCTCCCGAAAGAGACGTTTTACGCTGACCATTATATTTATGAAGTGAATCAACTGAAATGAAAAAAATCAAACGGATTACGTTAAAGTAATGTATAATCTTGTAATTAATCGAAGGAATAAGCCAAAAAAATGTTTATGACTAAATGGTGACTTCTCGAAAAAAAAAAATTTTTCCCCATAATTTTGGTCGTGAATTGCGCATTAATGGTCGTTACAGATATGCGTGTAACTTCCAAAATAACAGTCGGATCGACTTGAAATTTTCAGAGTATTTACTTGAATACATTTACATTACGTTAATGAAACTTAAAAAAAATCGATTTTTTGAAAATTCTAACTAGATGTAACCCCTAAAATGGCCGTAATTTCAATAAAAAATAAAACACTTTTATGCTTATATATAGTCATATACATACAAATGACATATTAATAAAACGTTTTACCGCTAGGTGAAATCTACAGTCCTTACAACGACCGCCGGCCAGCGGCAACACGTCACAACCACATCAAATAACACGCACAACACGCGCGGCAGTTACCTACAAAAATATCAAGTTAACCCGCCACAGCCACAATTCAAGCCTCTAGTTCAAGTTGACCCTACGCTTTTAACGAAGAACCGTGCGCCGTTACAAAATCCTCGCACTGGCGATTATCTGCTCAATAAAACAGCCAGCACCGAAGGTATAGCCTCGAAGAAGAGTCTAGAGCTTAAGAAACGTTATCTACTTGGCGAACAGGGCAATGGCAATAAAATACAAAAATCCGGTTCTACTTCTGTACTTGATTCACGCATACGTAGTTTTCAGTCGAATATATCAGAATGCCAAAAGTTGTTGAATCCTGGCAGTGGTATTTCGCCCAGCATGAAAACATTTCTGGATCGTACAAAATTGGGTGAAAATGCAAACAACGATTTAATGCGTTCGGCGACAACAAATATATTGAATGATTTGAAGGTTGAGATTACAATACAAAAGGCTTCGTCGACTGCGTCAACGGATAATGAGAAAGAAAATGTTTTTGTAAACAGCAAAAATGAGTTGAATAAAGGTATGGAGTATGCAGAGACCGTTAACACAGCATTGCTGGAGACTGTAAACAACAAAAAATCACCTTCAACACCAACTAATAACCAAACGATTTTGAGTACAATAGATTTAGTTACACCGGAACATGAGAAGCCAATATCAGTAATAGATTTAACCAAAGTAGACACATCTGCAAAAAAGTTGGAATCAAATATTGACTTCCTTAATAGTATTAATGCAGATGTGGTTGCACAGAAATTAACATCACCAGAAAGCAATGACAACTTACTCACTGCCGATAGTAATAAAATTATAGATCTTACCTGCGAATCGCCAGTGAAGAGCGATAATACTATTATAGAAGAGTTGAAACCAGATGTTTCGAAAGATGTTAAGGAGAGTATACCCGATATATTAGGGCATATCGGTCAGGAAGCAAAATCAACACGCAGAATAAATGTATTACGACAAACAGATGATGAAGAGCATCTGTTGAGTCACTGTTGTGATGAGGAAAAAATCGATTCACCAGAAAAGTTGGGGGAACAATGTGATAACGACATATTACAAATACAAGTGCCGAATATACCGTGGAGCACACGTAAAACCGATACAATGTCATCAACAACAGGATCCAGTTGTACATCCAATTCGTCGAGTATTGAAGATATAAAACACTTTTTATTAGAGTCAACAACTAGTCCAGACACCCAAACTGGTGGTATGGCTATCGGACACCAAGTGCCACGTGTGGAAATACACGATACGTCGGGTACACTCATGCAAATCGATAGTCTGATGATATTGGATGGAAAATATATTGGTGATCCAGAAGACTTGAAGTATATGGAAATACCAGAAGGTGTTGTCGTGCCACAGGTACCCGCTGTCAAGACCATGGAGGTTGAGGATGATACCGAAGCAGATATGGAACCGGTTACTGCAACACCAGAGCCAGTTGAATGTACAGTAATTGAAGCAGATCAAACGAAAGTTAATGAAAACGAAGATGGAAATGACGCAGAGTTAGATGAACAAATACCGCCGCTGCCTGAAATAGGTCCACCTCTACCAGAGCGTGGACCGCCAAGTATGAAAACTGTCAACCGCAAGTTCGATACTAAAAATGAAAATAAAGTAGAAAGCCTAAAAAATCTTCCTTTAATTGTCGAACAATCAGTTGAACAAACAAAAGCGGTTAAACCAGTAACATTAAATTTAAGTGCTGCCCAAAAGTCACCAAACACACCAACAACACCTACTGCCACAAAAAATGCAAACTTAATAACGGACCGAGCTCTAATATCGCCGTTAGTGGACAGCGATGTAACACCAACAGGTGATCTTATGTCGAGAGGTTCTGACTCAGAGACCGAACTAACAGGCACAGGTCAGGTGCTGACCGAAACCGAACTATCAGATTGGACGGCAGACGATTGTATTTCAGAGAATTTTGTTGATATGGAATTTGCACTCAACTCCAATAAAGGTACAATTAAACGCAATAAAAAAGAGAAAAAGCGCATGTCTGCTGCATCCAAACTGCCAACCACAATTGAAATGCTGGGTAAAGTAAACAAAACGGCGCCAGTTGCTGAATTCGAGGGCATACTGAAGTCGATCGATATAGATGATATCGAATTCATGGACACCGGTTCGGAGGGTTCTTGTGCGGAGGCATATTCTGCTACAAACACAGCGTTGCTGCGCAATCATGGTTACATGGAATTTGTGGAAACAACACCGAGGCGAACACCTTCACACAAAACTATGCCCTACAAGTCGTCAGACAATAGTCATACGTCGGTGGCTGCCAAACGGGATGAGAAACTTGGTATCGACTATATCGAACAGGGTGCTTATATATTACAAAGCGCCAACCAAGAGCATGATCTCTTAAAAACGCCGGTTAACGAAGACCCACATTTAATTGGTTTATTGATGGATAAATCCCAACCTATTGGTCCACCTTCGATTATGACCCAATCAATGACAGATTCGAGCACATTGTACGATCTTGAGGATGATAGCTTATTTACTGCAACGCCAAATTCACAAATTCAATTGTCTAGCGGCACTGCTGCTGCTAAGACAACAACGGAAGAGAGTGAAGCGTTGACCGTTGTTACCAGCCCAATTGATACGTCATCGCCCAAAGCGCCGGGTGTGCTCAATAGTACTTACGTTGCAGATAAGACAGCTGAACTAACAGGAGAGTCAACACCCAGCAGCTCTGATAAGAACCCCAAAACCTCACAGTCCACATGCACAACCGCGAGCACATCGAGTGCCTCATCGAACAAAGTCAATCCTCCTCCGCCATTGTCACAAGAA